GAATTTTTTTTTGTTTTTTGTTGTGGAAGGTTTTGATTTGATTGAGCGCAGGCTATTTCTTCCTATCAACTGTAATATCATCTTCTCGGAAACTGTAGTTTCAGAGCCTCTGTTTCAGTGTCCACAAAATGTCAGAAGGCAGCTATCTGAACAATGATCTAAACATGACTGATGGCTTTTCAGTAATTCTGTTTCGCTCGGCTTCTCAGCTTTTGGCTCATTGTGGCGCTCACAAGGCCCCTGATGAGGCGTTTCTTCTTCATTTCGAATCAGCGTTCTTTGTCCACGGAGAAGGGGATTTTACTAACAGATGTTGAAGCTGCTTTCCATTTTCGAGCTGTACTGTATGTTTATCTACAGACGGCAGCCTCTCCACAGAGTTCTCATGCAGCAGCCATGTGTTTTATCAAGCCTGTGTGAAAACGTGATATAGAGACTCCATCCTGTTCCTCAGTTTTCCTCAGGTCAAAGGTAACGCTTGATGCTAAAATTATTGCAGGCACAGCAGATTGAGTCGCATTAAACTTCTGAATTAAACTTCTGATGGTGAGCTCATACATGAACATTTTCTGCCAGAACTGACTGTCCATAAAGTCTGACATTAATTCACATTAGTTTTTTTTTGCCATGTATTATTCTCATTACTTTATAGTGGAAAATTTCATTTAAAAAGACGATGTTCGTTTTCATGTATCCATTAGGATACCCTGTAAAAGAAGTGTGATGGTAAGTGTACTCTATCTGAGCATTCAAAGTGCTTTCTGCTATGAGACACATTCGCCCATTCACACACGCATTCATACAGCTCTTTATTCTATGCCCTAAAGCACTTTCTAACAGTCACAGACACACTAACAGTCTGATGGATGAATGGTGAGGGGGAAATTTAGGATTTGGTATTTTGTCCAGGACATGTGGACCAGAGGAGCCAGGGGCCGACTCAATGGGCTTTAAGTGCTACGTAGAAATAATGTGTCCTTTTCCATCCTTTGGCCCTGACATTATCACAGTAGCATGGTGGATATCATATACATGTCTTGATTATTTCTAGCAGGGTACAGGCCTATTGTCGTTATTAGTGTTCCTTGCTATTCCTACTGTTAAACACCTGCACTTGGGTCTATTGGTTTTAATTGACATGCAGTCATAAAGTAAAAGAAATTGTGACCAACATGCAAAAGTGAAAAGGTCTGTGTGGAGTTTACAGTTCATCATCTGCAAGTACGACGAGTGATGGAGACAGTTGATATACAGCATGTCATGACTGTGCGTCTGTAGGTTTGACATGAGAAGGACTGAAATGCTCCAGCGGGCTTTTGATCAAAAATAAAAATAGTTTTGATGTCTTTTTTTCTTTTTTCTCTGTGTGTGCTATTCAGCTGCCAAACATTATACACTGTCCCATTACCTCTAACAGCCATGGTGGTGGTATAATCTGAGTCCCAGAAAGGGGCCAATTATCCCAGATTACACGTTCTATCAAGAAGCAGCCTCGACATCTGAGTTGTACAACTGAAGCCGCAGCACTCGAGCTGAACTCTGCTTGGCTTTATGTCGTGTGGAGCATCGGGCTCAGATCCTCTCCTATCTGCTGTATTAATAAATTCATTCTCTTTCATGTCATGTTCAGTTGAATTTTTTAATCAGGTCATTGAACATTAAACAACTTCCCGAGAAGGCTGCACTTTTTAAATACATATAGTGAATTTACTCTTTTCCCCCATGACTCATAAACCCACAAAGAATATCCAGAAAGAAATGCATGGTGTGTAGTGCAAGTAGCAAAAACACATCCTTCTTATTATGATGCAAGTGGACAGCAAACAATATTTTACTGCTGGAATTATGAATAAGAAAAGCTTTATTGCCCCATATAATACCAATGAATTTTAAAATGTGTTGAATACATTACAGAGGGTATTACAGCCTTGTTGCTTAGGCCACTGCGCTCATGTGCAGGCCGAGCCCCCAGGCTTTGTCTCTCATGTGCATGCCACAGAGCCAAACATATTTTCTTCAGAGATTAATACGCCTTACAATTCATAGTCTATTACAGTACTAGAAGGTACTGTCACCTGCTTACTTATTTCCCAAGGGGTCACCACAGTGGATGGATCCGCATGACTGATTTGGCACAGGTTTTATGCCGGATGTCCTTCCTGATGCAACCATCCCCCAAGTTTGGGTTTGTGTCTCCTCCCAGTCGCGAACTGCCGATCTTTTCCTGATTGTAGATCATGTGTGTGTATTTATGTATGTATAAAAGAAAATAAATAAGCATAATAAAATGTTATAGAAACAAACAGAGCGAGAGATCTTTCATTCATTCCTTGGATCTGAAATTGTACTGTTCCAGCAGTTCCGGAAATGTGTCAAAATCCTGTTTAATCCAGAAGCAGGCCGGATATTTCTTTAATCTGGATTTTGGTAAGAGTCCGTGACCCTCAGAGCAGCAGCTAATGTTGCAACCTCCTGGGTTAGGTCATAGACTCAGTGTAGTGTTCACCCTCTTGATTGGTGGATTGTTGAGCCCATTATTGTTACAATGGCATCCGGTTGATATAAGTCTACTGGCTCATGCTCTTTGTTTTTGGAGCCAAATGACACACAAAAAACTAACAAACAAACTGTAAAGAACAGCGATTATCATGTTCACATTTGAACGTATAACTCATTGGTGCTCTCTCCTGGTAAAACTATGTAATAACAAGCAGTAACTCATCGGGATAATATGGGGTGAGTGTCGCTACAGCTCACAATGTTTGTCTATTAAGACCTCAACAGTAAAACAGCCTCTGCACATCCATAATGTGAATTTTCCAAAGTCACCAGATCTCAAGGATACTCTACTGTATTGAGATCTGGTGACTTCGGATGCCATTTGAGTACAATGAGTTCATTGTCATGTTCAAGATGATCTGAACTTTGTGGCATCACTTCAAAAGATGGGTACGCTGTGGTTATAAAGAGGTGGACATGGTCAGCAACAGTACTCAGTTAACACTGTGCCAGATGGGCACAAGAAAATATCCCCCACACCATTACACCAGTATCACCAGCCTGAACCATTGACACAAAGCAGGACTGATCCATGCCTTCATGATGTTTACACCAAAATCTGATCCCACAATCTGAATGTTACAGCAGAAATCTGATCCGATTGACAATGTTTTTCCAGTCTTCTACTGTCCAGTTTATGTGAGCTCCTGTGAATTGTAGTCTCGGCTTCCTGTTTTTAGCTGACAGGATTGGCACCTGCTGTGCTCCTCTGGTGCTGTAGCCCATCTGCTTCAAGGTTCAACATGTTGTGTGTTCAGAGATGCTCTTTTGCATACCTTGGTTGTAACAAGAGATTATATGAGTTATTGTTGCCTTATCAGCTCAAAGCAGTCTGGCTATTCTCTGTTGACCTCTGGTATCAGAAAGACATCTTTTGCTGCTCACTGGCTATTTTTTCTTTTTCAGACTGTTCTCCGTAAACACTAGAGTTGGCTATGTGGGAAAATCCCAGCAGATCAGCAGTTTCTGAACACTCAGACCAGGCGGTCTAGCACTAACAACCATGCCACATTCAAAGTCACTTAAATCACCTTTCTTCCCCATTCTGATGTTTAGTTTGAACTTCAGCAGGTCACATTGACCAGATCTATATGACTAAATGCACTGAGTTGTTGACACGTGATTGATTTATTCATTGATTTCTTTTTTTTTAAATAGATTTTCATCAACGAGGTACTGACGGATGTACCTAATAAAGTGGCTGGTGAATGGAAGTTTTTGGGCATTTCTTTAGTGCTTTCTTCTTGAAATTTTCCATCAAACTCTTTTTTTTTGTTCATTTAACAGAAATATACACACCACTTATGCAATATCACTTCAAAGCCAAATGAAAAACTAACTGCTTAGATTTAGTCCAACAGAAACACAAGCTCCGCAGCTGGAACTCAGAAGACTTTACAAATCTTTTATTCTTTTAAAAGAATAAAACTTTAGTTTACTTTTATTGTTGATGACATACTTAATTCTCCTTGGCTTGGAGGAGACCAGTTTTAAAATGTTCTACCACTATTTATTCAGCTTCTCTTTGTTTAGTGTCTCTGTATCTAACTTAAAAATGCCTTGAAGATTTTCTATTGGATGTTTCTCCTGTAATTCTATTGGTTTGTTTAAATCACTCTTATACTGCACCGTTCCTCTCCTATCAGACTTCTGGAGACTCTGGGTGCTATTATCACATGTCCATCTATAAATTGACATCTTTACCATTCATTTAGCGTCATATGATCAGACTCTATCTCTATGCTTTACAGTCAGGGCCATGCAATCGCTGTGGCACCCAGATTTGTGCCATATATGCGGGAACCTGTCTGAGCTGGATAAATTAATCCTGGGCTCAATTGGATCAAAGATTGAGTTTACAATAGCTAACTTTCCATTTGATTTAGCAATGTTTTTTGTGTGGCACTTGCTGACGAATAGTTTTTGATTGTTCACAAGAGAATTTATAATGCTTGTCATGTATTATTCAAAAATAATAAGTGACATTATTAATGTGTTGCATGCTGTAATTAACGGTGATACACAAACACCATCTCGTTTTTCAGTCTAATAATTGCTATTATGGACTTCTATGGTAGGGCGAACCACATAAGAGACATCATGAGGCAAAAACTTACAACAAAGCTACATGGTGTACCCCTCTCGCACAGAGTGGTACACAGGTGCTTCTGAGAAAGGTTAAGCTGAAACGTTAGGTCAATAAAATATGGATTAAAATGAGGAAAATGCTCTCTTGAATGTCAGCTACCTCAAAAGGCACACCCACACAGGTTCGCTCTGTGGCGGCTCTTTGTTTACCTATGGAAATTTGAGCCAGGTAAAGTGGTGACGTAGCCCTACCGGGTGCCGTCTGCTTCTTCTTCTTCCCCCTCCCTTCCCCCAAACACTGCTGTCATTAGCTTTCAAGTTTTCAACTTCTAACAGAAATAAGCAGTGACACTATGGTGCCAGCTCCACCAGTCCCTGTGAATATTTCCCCCGGTGTAGACAGGCTGGTGGAGGATGAGAGGTGAAAGTGATGCAATGTTCGTTTGCACCTGTGACACCCCCTCCCGCGGACAACACAGACACACACAGACACACACACACGAACCTGGCAGCAGCCTACCGAAGAGTAGGACGCTCGAGCCATTGGGTGGAGCAGCGGCGTCGCGTGCTGCGGAATACATTGAGTAGGTCGTTAAGGCTGCGCGCGGTTCGGCTGCAGATGCAGGTCGCTGAGTGGGAGCGCGAGGCGGGGGGAAATGGCGAACAGGCGCGGGCGGCGGTGCACCTTTTGAGGATATAGTAGGCACCGGGAGCGCAGGCAGGCAGAGAGGCGGCTCGAGGACAGAGAGAAGTAGAGGAACCATGGAGGACTCGGAGCCCGCAGAGGACGGCTTACTTGCGGGCTTGCGGTGGAACAGGAGCGCAAGAGACCAAGCTCAGCTGAAACACAAAATCCGGGATCTGCCGGGACTACTGAAGCACGGGCTTCACCTGCGGAAGAAAAGCGTGAGTACTTCAAACCGACCGCTGTCTGACTGTCCGTCCTTCCGTGTTTGATGTCTGGTGAAAGGTGGACGGGTTTTATTTTTTTTAACAGTCCCGACATCTCGCCGTGAAGGCTCTGAAGCCGTTTCGTAAGCCTGTCACGACTCAGGTGTTTGTATTTTGCTGTGAACAGCGCTGTCGCAGAGGCACCCAGTGTGTGTACGTGTGTGCGCGCGCGTGCGTATGCACGCTACATCCATAATAACCAGAACTGCTGTTGGACACCATACCTTCACACTCTGGTAGTCAAGGCAACACCACCTCCACCATATTGACTAGATACACCTACTTACATACACTAAAAATTAGACACGTTTATAGATGTGTGTGTATATATATATATATATATATGTATATATATATATATATATATATATATATATATACACATATATAAAGGAATGTGCGTAGGTTCACTGCTACATAACACAGTTATTTTGATTGCACAGTAATGTTCTGTAAGCGTAGTTTTTGTTTTTCAGTAGAGAAATAAAATAAATAATTATGACGAAATGACCATCACAAGTTCTGAGTCCACTGTGATGTATTCATATGATTTTTTCTGTTTAACTGTGTGTCTGCTCACCCAGAAATCAGAGATAACAGCATCAGACAGAGAAAGCATTCATGGGAGGACATAAAAAGAAGTCTGGACTAGCACCTACTTGCATTTTTGTTTGTGTAAATAACTTTAACGATGTATTGGTTATCAAACTAATGTCAAACGATTAAACATCTGATTGAGTCAGGTCTGTTCTTTGACGAATAAGCTATCCTAATATTTATATATCAAATCAGAATTTCCATCTGATGTATCTTTGAATTGTTTTTTTTTCCATGATTGGCCGGCTAAGCAGTAACTGTGACTTGATGTGCCCAACTGTGGCACTAACAGACCTGACAAGCCAAATGGCTGCTCAAAGTGTCAGTTCTGCTCATCTTCATCATCAGTGGCACCCAGGAGGGGAAAAAGGGAAAAAAATATGTCTCTGAGTTCCCTCCTTAGAGATCAGAGACTTGTGTGCCACTCCTTCCAGTCCCACTGGAGAAAGACGTGTTAAAAATATGCAACATTTGTAGTTTAAAGCCACATAGGACCAAAGAGATAAACACTTTGTCATGTTCCATCTGGTCATTTTAACTGATGTTTGAATGACCCACTGATCGGGGCCACTCAGTCTCCTGTTACCTGTTTGTATGATCCCGTTTTCCAGTCAAAATAAATCAGCAGCTGTACACGACAACTAAAGTGAGTCCACTCAAGAATGTTATTATAAAACCACCAGAGAACGGCTGCATTAGAGGGTGGATTTACCTCCTTTTGTGAATTAACCATGCTTTTTGTGCAGTACCCATGAAGGCGAACATAATGGCAGGCTTGAGTAGATGAAGAATCTTTCATTCTCTTCTGATATCTTGGTGTGAGCATTCTATGTTTGTGCGGGTGAGTGTGATGAAGCATAGGTAAGTAGTGTAAAGGTATGGGTGTTTTGCACAGACTGGTCCTCACCAGGCTCTTTTCAGTCGCCTCTGCTTCACCTGGCATACCCACAATACACTTTATTTTTATGTGCACAAAAAAAAATCAAAAAGTTGTTGGATGGGAGGTTCCTGGGATTGTTTTGCATTGCACTGCACCAGCACCTGAGGCACTTGTCTAAAGATGCAACAACATATTTTGTGGCTCAGAGGTGGGTGATACATAGGAATAAGAATGATCTGACCACATACAGTAAAAAGAAAGCCCTTGCTGTCTTCGTTGATATAAATATATGCTTTTTCTTTAGTTCTGATTGTTTGCCCAACAAAAATCATGCTTAAGTAAACAATCTCCTTCCTGGGAACGCATCGGCTACTTTGCTGACTTAGTCTCTCGGAGTCACAGCCCATATATTTCAGTGCTTTGGTGTAGCCTGTGGATATATATTTTACATAATAAGAGTTGTGGTTTTATCTGAGATTTTTAAAGTTAGCTTAACTGAGAGTTTTAAGATTGCTTTGCAGAGAATGCAACTGCTCATCTGGATTCAACAAAAGCTTGTTAATTGGTGATTGGTCATTAACACTGGAGAGTTTTCTGGTACCCTCCCACAAGATGCACATGTCTTGAGATATTTTACTTTTTAATACGTGTATCTGAAGGCATTCATAAGTCCTCAGTATCCTGCGTGAGTGGTTTTTTTTTTCACATTATCTGATTCTTTAATGTTTGGTGACAGCTCATAAAGTGAATTGAGCTTGTTGTCCTGTACGGAGGCATCTGTCGCCTAAAGTTGCAGCCTGCAGCAGCCTCACCTTGAAAAATCCTGTCCTGCATTGTAGTCTGTTGTGACTTGCTCTTGTATTCAATTATTACTCCTTTATTGGCTGCGATGTGACAGGTGCAGGGAGATTTGCTAACCCTTTAAGGGCAGTTGAAAAGTCAGTAACCACAGTGCATTGTAGTTTTTCAATAGAGTTTGGCGAGTGGCTAATTGCAATTTGGCAAGTCGATTGCCATTTAATTTTTGTCTTGGTCATGTTGAGTTTGTTTATCAAATGTAATAATCTGTGTTCTTTAGTAAAATATAATGAATGCTGCAATGATTTCTGCCTTTCACACAATCAAGCCTTCTGTAGTGTTTCAGGCATTCAACCCATGCTTAAAAGCAACATCGGTTCAAAAAGCATGGAACTAGACCAACAACTGCATGTGTGGTTCTGCACCCTGATCATTTAATAGCATGTATTGTCTCTGCTGACTTGTTCATGTAGAGTCTGCAGGCAGCGGCATCCGTTATCTGAAGCTACATTCACGTCCTTTGGCTTAACGTTTCTCCTGGTTTGAAACCAAAATAATCCCAATTAAGTGCTTCATATCCTTTTAACAACAGCCTCTTCCGTGATTGTATTTACTGAAAGTGGCATGTGGGGTGCTGGGACTCCCCCCGGCTCGCCCTCTGTGCGTGTTGAACATACCTAAAAGGCAATGCTGCCAACAGTAATAAGAAAAACTGTCAACTGTTAGTTTCCCTTGAGCCAGACTCTGTGTATTGATGTCAGTAATTTTGTACGGTAATATAGAATTTTCTGCCATAATTGAAGAGGTGCAGAGACTTTGCGTTACATTAGCAGGAGTGCTTTGTATTGCCTGATTCTTGCATTTCCATGTGTTTGCATTCTTAAAGACAGCCAAGGAATTATGCATGCTAACTCTTTACCCCCTTTGAAGGACTACTAGGAGTAACCCTTGAAGCTCTTTTCTGAACTGAGCGGTTTCTGTCATATTTCACGGAAACTTACAGAACAAAATGACTGAGTGTGCATGAGGAGTTAGTGAGCTTAGCCGCTGCCAATTTGAAGCTATGCTCGGAAAAACCCGTAAAATATTCTAATGGTCATCAAACCAAATTTGGGAGGTTGTTAGATGTTGTTTATGAGGAAAGAGTTAAAGATGGAGGAGGTGTTTTGAAAAAACAAATGTGGAGTGGCATATTTGGAGAAATAATCTTGTGCACTCTTGTGTTTTTTTTTTTTTTTCTTTGTTCTGTGGTTTTGTGGTTGCAGCTTTTAGCCTCGCTGCTAATGAGTTTATGATAGACTACATGCTGGAAATTATACTGCTGCCCCCACACAATACCAAGTTTTCATATCTAAATGGTACTTATAAAGGTGTGTTTTATAATACAATTGCTATAACAACAATTTGAAAAGTTAAGCCTTTGTGTTAATTCAAACTTGAACTTAAACATTCAACATTTTCTTCTGCAAACTGAAGTCAAATATACAGCATTCTGCTTTAGGCGGTAAGATGAGATTATGAAACCTTAAGCACTCTTAATGCGAGCTATCTGACTTTATGATCACTGTCTTAGAGGAAAGCTGGTGATATTTCTCAGAGGATGATCTCATTTCTGCTTTAATATGCACAAAAATAGTGGCTTTTGTTGTGTTCTATGTCTTCCAGCCATATTTCCCTTCCATAAGGCATCCTACCTTAATGTAAGTAAGATGAAAGACAACCGAGGAGTAGAGAGGCTCTTAATGGCCACAAACTGAGAAACATACTAATGTTATATCCAACGTTTATGTTTTTTGTTACCACTTTTGGAGCATTTGACATAGAATTGTTAGGTGCAATGAACATATGTGATGTTACGCAAGGGGTATTTACCCCAAATAATGATTGTGTTGACAAAACAAAGTACAAAAAATTGCAGCCCTGCAGCTCTGTTAATTTCCAAAATTATTTTGGGATTCAAATGTCACACAATACTTTCTTAATTCAGCAAAGTAATAGCTTTAATTTTTTTAAAAAATGTTAGAAAACAGCAGTCTACATCACCAGATGGTCTGGTAATGGTTTCAGAGGGCTACATCAAATCCAGCTAGTATTCAGTTCCAGACTTTGCAGCCTCATGCTAAAAAATGAGTGAATTAAATTTTCTTCCATAAATCTATGTTCAAAACACTTTTACTGCAAGGTGAAGTAGATTTTGATATAACTGTGTATTTTAAAGAGAAAATGTCTGACAGTCCTTTAGGTATTTTTATGCAGACTCCATGCAGGTTTTTTCTACATGGTCCACTGTGGAGAGGCTGCTCTGCCATAAAGCTCAGACTGATTGATGGAGTGCAGCAGTGATTGTTGCCCTTCTGGACGTTTCTCCTCTATCCACACATGATCTCTGGAGCTCAGCCATGCTCCATCAGGGTATTGGTCATCTCTCTTACGAAAGCCCTTCTCCCCCTGATTGCTCAGTTTGACCGTGAAAGGGTTCTGGTGTATCCACGTTTCTTGTATTTAAGAATTAGGGATGCCCTCGGACAGATCTGCGCTTCAACTCCTCCTTGTGTCTGAGCAGTCAGTTCTTTAAACCTCACGCCAATGTGACGCCTTTCTAAATCCATTAAAAGTGTAGAAACATCTCAGAGATTATGCACAGATACAGGGAAAACCTAAGTTATAAGAGTGTAAATAC